CTCTGCAAAGGGGAGGGTCGGTGACAGTGGTGGTCAGTGTACCTGGGTGTGTGTTGGTGTGCTGTCGGTTATTATGCAATCTTTTCCCTTGCTGTTGTGTATGGGGGGCAGATACACGCTTACATGATTTCTCAAGTATTTGATTACTTCATACCAGGCCTCATGCTCTTTCATATTTGGTCATCAGTTATGCCCTTCTGCTTTTGCTTGATTACATTAGGCTCCCTGGCTCGTTTCCCAGATTTCTGTTTTTAGCGTCCAGGCCAGGCATCTCCACACCCATTACCAAAACATGCCCAAGCTTGCCTCTGCACCCAAAGACTGTCTCTATACTTTTTATTATTTGATTTCAGTCCTTTATATGTTATACGAACTTATAACTCATCAACACAGTCACCTTTAATACATCTCTTCAATCATAGCTTCTTAATACTCATTAACTTTTAATCCAGTACAATTACATTTTCAACTTATGATTCATTGTTTAACTGATTTATATAATCAATAATCAACATCAGAACTTACTCACTTCATAATCATTAATACTTCCAGATAATACATTTTTCCATAATCAACATTAAATCAGCATACAAGATTACTTCAGTCTCTCAGGTTTGTTAGGATCTGTTTTCTGCGTGAAGCTGGACAGATCTCTCCTCCTCATACCAGTTTTCAAGACAGTGCGTGTGTCCGGGGCAATCGTGAGGGGGGAAAAAAGCCCCTGTCCCTGCAAACACATACCTTTAAAGAAAAACTACAATTTAACTTCATTTTTTCTGGTAGCACGACTAGTCAGTGCTGACTATGAGTTTGTGATTTCCTTCATCCGTTTCAAAAAACTGACACTTAAATTTTAAACTCTTGTAGATTTTTCTGCAACACTTGCTAGTGTGATACATTTCAGTAAATGTTGCTCATTTGTACATGTACTTCTTAAGAATATGACTGGTAGTAAACAGAGAGGTCACTCAAGTTTAACTTTTAGCTTTCTGCAGTTAAAGTCATCACTCCCTTTCCAGAATTTGTCCTCTCATTTCGTTCAGTTTTTTTCCTGCTGCTGAATCAACACTGATCTCACTGCTTCATGCTTTCTCCAAAATAGTAAATATTGGTTTAAATACATTTGAAACTCATAGATTTTTGTTTCAGTAAAACTTGCTTGTGTGATACATATCAGTAAAAGTTGCTCATCTGTAAATGTACTTCTTAAGAATATGTGACAGTCATCAAGCAGGCCTATGCGGGGCTATTCGTATTTTACTTTCAGCTTTCTCCAAAGTTAAAAGGTTTCTTTGTTTGTTTTTTTACACTGCACAACCACACTTCAACATGGGAAATTGTTTGTTTTGTTTCATCTTTAAAATTATCTGCTACTTTTGTCTCTGACTGACATGCTGTATGTTTCTTGGCCCTATTGATGCTCTCCCTTGTTGAGTTGTTGAATTTTCCACTACTAGAGCTTATAAATGATCAATGTAAATCATCAGACTGTATTAAAATAGTGAATATGATTCATATTATTTAGATTTGATGTTTTGATGCATGCACTTGGATTTCTATTGATTTATTGATTGCTGGTCTGCGTAAATATTTATCAAACTGAATGGCCATTCAGATTTTGTATAGATTTTCTTTTCTTTTGGTGTTTCTTGCCCAAATTCAAATATCAACCAACAATTCAAACAGTAAAATTTGTTTTTTTGTCTTAAATACTCTCTCTCACATCTTCTGACAACTAACCCAACTTATAATAACAATAACTAAGTTTGCTATTGCTGCACTTTACCTAAAAAAAGATTTAAAAAAAATAAATAAATATACTATGAAATATTTAATTTGCAGAATCCCAACATTAAAACTTCAATTGTGAATTGAAAGATTGCATTGCATCTAGACACAAAAGAAACAACTGTTAATCAGTCATCATAAATGACTAACAAGATTTGAACAAACAAGAAATTTGACTAGATCAAGGGATTTCTCACATTGGAGAATGAACCGTCTGACTTTCTTTCGCCCACTAAATTTAATCTTACCAAAGTTTTGCAGTAAAGCAAACAGGTACTGAGTTTGAAGCCTGAATCAGATGCCTTCAGCCTTCTGCTGAACCTGGACTTTGGCCTTTCTCACTGTAAAATAAAACATCAGTGTTAGAATAATTATGTTTTGTTATCATTCTTACATTTGTAGTTTTAATAGATTTAGTATTCACATCCCTGAGAAAAGGAACTTGTTAGACTTTGGAGCTGCAGCTGCACAAAGACCTTAAAGCTGCAGCCATTTCTTATCTCGGGATACTCCTTACGCGGCCTGTGTGTGAATCTTCCTCTGTCCTCCCTCCACATTCATTTGGTACTTTGTAATAAAAGAGAAAGCCCTAACAAAGGGTCTTCAGAGCGCTTAGCAGTTTGCTGGGTTCTCTCCCTTTGCAAAAGCTTTCATAAAATTCACTTACGTTGTCTGTTTGTTCTTTTTTGTAGATTCATAAATACCTATCAATCAGACTTTAAAGAAACGTTCAAGTGAACATCATTTAATGATCACCAACTTGTTGTTTGTACTCATCTCAAACAAGTGGCAGGAAAGTTTGGATTTAAAAAGTGCTTTATTAGTTAATCTATTTAAGTTGAGTAAAGGCAACAACTAAAATAAAATAAAAAGTGAACTATATAAAAGTAGTTAGGATTTTAACATGTTAATCAGCCATTTCTGCTCAAGCAAACCAAAAGGTTTTGAACAGTACAACTATGTCAAATGATGAGACCATGTATCTTTAATGCATGTAGCAAATTTAATGCTGCTTTTACTAGATGGCAGTCCTAAAACTACATACCATTAAAATATTAATAAATACGTACAGTTCCTTAATTATTCGATCCAGAGGTTATAGAAGTTTGGTAATATTGCAATTCAGGGACTGTGGTTCCTTAATGTAAGTCTGATAATCTGCTTGGTTACATTACAGATAGCAAGCACACGCATCTTCTTTCACTAGAAAGGTCACGCATGTCGTGAGACAAAAATAAACAATGACTTCATTGACATACCAAAGCCAGAGAAACTGCTTCAGGCGCCTTTATCCCCCTTATTCCATGTAATTTCTGCTCTTTGTCTGCATTTAAAATGCCTTGTAAAACCATTCTCTGATTTTAATAATGCTTCGATCTATTTCGATCATTTTTGGTTAACCCTTTCATTTGCTTCGGTTTTTCTCTTTGAGGTGTGGGCGGGAACCTGGTGTCCGTACAAGCTAGTCGGATTTCAACTCATCTGCATTTGAATTATTCTCCTGGAGAGCTTCCTGCGGGCTCCAGAAGCTGTTTCAGCCCCTTCCAAGCCTTCTTTGGCTCAGGTTTTATCATTTAAATATTTCCGTATTGTTGAGACGCTTATCAAGGTCAAATACACACATAAGCTTTTACACATTTTACATTCTCATACTTTCACACAACGGCCTGTGTATTTGTAACAGATACAGAAACTGTATCTTCCTTGGAGATGGGAGTGAGAAGATGATTCAGTTTCTGTATCTGTTACAAATACACAGGCCGTTGTGTGAAAGTATGAGAATGTAAAATGTGTAAAAGCATATGTGTGTATTTGACCTTGGTAAGCGTCTCAACAGTGTGTAAAATGTAACATCTGTCTGCTGCATCTGAACATCTGACCAGTGTTTTTCCCTACATAGTTTGTCTTATAGAACATTTTATTTCAAAGTACATTTGCTGAAATTAAACTTACAGTCACACATATTTAAATGTTTACCTTTGCTGTTCCAGGTGCACACCAACGGTCTGCTAAGGTTCTGCTCCTTTTGGTTCTCCCTGGTCAGCTGATTTTTGTACACATTATTTATGTGATAAAAGGAGGCCTGACGCTGCCCAGTCTTCTCTTCACTGTATTATTCCTATCTGCTTCTTTGACACAAGTGAGTGAGCCAGGGCCTGGCATTCCCCACCGGGTGGTTTTATTGATGCTTTGATCTCTGTGTCCTGCCTCTTTTTCTCAGGTCTTCTTGCTGCTTATTGCTGCCGACTGTCTGGTCCACTGTCTGTGGAAGAGGGGCAAAGACCCAGACAGCTGCTCCATACCGTACCTCACTGCCCTGGGAGATCTTCTGGGAACTGCTCTCCTCTCTCTTGCTTTTCTCTTGCTGTGGTGCATTGGAGACTCATGACGTGTATGGATTAAAGATAATAACCAAACACTGACAAGATATTGAACAGCAACATCTTCTTAAAACTCAGAGAGGTGAGAAGGAGTTCAAGAAAGCAAAGTGCCAGAAAGATGGTTAGCGGATGTCCTGCAAAGAGAATGTTTATTACTGGGCTAGGATTAGCATCTAAACATCTAAACCTCACATCTAACAGCAAAAATAGGTTTTAATTTATTCTTGAAGAAAGTTTGACACATACTGTCTCTAACCTCTCTTTAGGTGATAATGAATCTTGAACATTAAACATTAGTATTTAAAATACTTCTGTAAATCAAACAAGGGCTTTACAGTGTCACTCAGTATCTTTTCCATTTGCATGACTTGTAACATCTGATCACTTTTCGACATTAAAAGCCTGTTTTATACTTAACTAAATCTCATTATTTCTAGAGAGCTAGAGTTCTGGCTACAAATGGAGCGCATTATAGCAGTTCTGTAATCACTCAGTCACATTCCAGAAATTATTCAGAGAAAAAAATCTGAAAATTCTCAGAATTTTTCTCAAAAATCTTTAAAATTTCTAAAAAAAATAAAAAAAGTCAGAATACTGGAAAGAAACATTTATCAAAAATATGAAAGAGGATAAAGACAACTGAAAAAAATATTTTTTTGAGTGGTTCTAATCCTCTTAATCCTCTAATTCTGAGATTCAAGTCAAATACTTTTTTTAGTGGCACTAATCTTCCATACAAAAAGTCAGAAGAGGGGCAAAGGAAAAAGTCATTTTTATTTTATTTCTTTATTATTTTTTTAGTGGCACTAATCCTCTTCCATACAAAAAGTCAGAAATCAGAAAAAGGGTCAAAAATCCTTCTGTAAAGCATTTTAAGGAGTTCCTGGTGGGGCTTACGTCACTGACCATATTTAAATCACACCATCGCCACGCCCCCTGCTGCAGTTGGACTCCACCGACTTCCTCTCAGAGACGTCTCGCAGTCTCCCAGCTGACAGGAAGGTAACGGTCGTCACTGCCGCAGCTGGAGCAAACGAGGACCTAGAAACGCGCGGCTCCGTGTTGTGGATGACAAATAGAGGGAGCGACTTTTGGCTCATGACTCGGAATCAGCGGCTGCAGACATTTGATGGGAAGAGAAAGCGGACAGGGGAGACGGCAAAACACTCCGGATGGTTACGAACGCCGCTGCCTCTGGAGCGGAACCTCACCCTGAAACGGTGAGTTAGTTGTCTTGGTGTCGGCGCCTCTTTGCAGCTCTGGTTTGGTTGGACCGCCGCTGAACTGGAATGCAACTCACAGACGGGAATCGATGAGGGTCTTCCAAGTTTTCCCCTCCACCCTGTAAACTTTTGCGTTGCAACGAGCCAAAAAGAAATAATTGGTCTCGAACAAAAACAATGAGGTCTTCTCGACTCATTTGTAGAGAACTCGAAACGTCACACCGGATGACCTGGGCGCAACATGTTTTAGGCGTGCGCGCTCCCGCATGCCTTTAGCGTGACTCAGCGAGGAGGCTTTCCTCCTCCACACACACACACACACACACACACGCACACGCACACAGGCATAAACTGGACTCCTGCTCTGTCTTTCTTCAGAGCAGGAGACGAGGAGTCTGCAGCCCAGACGCAGGCTGTGCAGGCAGACTCCCTGCTGTTGATGAGAAATAAAACATTCAAACGACGCGGCATCCGATCCGATTCTGTTCGATTCTCCACCAGCACCAACCGTATTCTGAGTCACTTTAAAACCCTCCTCTTGTCCTCGGGTCAAAATGACCCGCCACTGTGTTAAAACCCTCCAAAAAAAATCCACTCAATATTATTTTTTTTAACTTGAGATTTTAAGACTTTTCCTAAATTGGCCAAAACAGTAGAAAAAGTAAAATGTTGCTTTTATTCACATTTCCTGTACAAAAAAATGTACAAAGATGGTATTTGGGTCAAAATGACCCGTGAGGCAAATAGAGTTGAAATGAAGGTCACAGAGTTATTCACAAACCGCAAAATGTTACAAAGCTTTAGATGTGTCTCAGATCAATCAGTAGCAGAAGTAAACAAGGCAAATCAGGTGGTGTTCTCGCAGACTTCAGAAGACCACCTGTTATTTCCAGAGGTTATGAAGGTCCTGCATAACAGAACCCCGAATCGTGTCTGTGCTGAAGCCATGACTGCCCGCTGGCCTCTGGTCATCTTCCACAACATCATTGATGTGTCCTCCTACAATGCCTTTGTGATTTGGAGAGATCAACCCAACCTGGATGTCTCGTAAGCACAACAAGAGGAGGGTGTTCCTGGAGCAGCTAGGAAAGGCATTGAAAGAAGGAAGCATGTCCCCCGCACAGAAGCCTCAGCAGCAGTTGTGAAAGCTATTCAGCGTGCAGCAGCTCCTGATCAACCTGGGGATCCATCTACCACAGCCACTTCCCCAGCTAGGCCAAGTAAGAGGAAGAGATGTGAGTTCTGCCCTCAAAAGAAGGACTGGAAAACACAGACTGTGTGCTGCAGGTGTAAGAAATATATCTGCAAAGGCTGTGCACTTGCATACTGCCCTACATGTGCAAATTAGTTGAATGGATTATGTCATTTTTCACATTCTCTTCAATCGTTCACTGGAGAAAAGTAAAAGAAAATTCATCATTGAGATGAATAGAAATGCATTCGAAACTCCTTTTGCACATTTTTTCCTTTTCTTAAGCTATAGAAATTCAAGCGGAGAGGGAAAACTCAAGTATTCACACATTTTGTGTTAAATTACAATATACAAGATGAAATTTGGTGTTTAAAATTCAATTAAGCTGCTTATATTGCGGGTATAGTGAAGAGGGATAATTTTAACCTGGAGTACACGGGGTGTATACAGAAAATGTGGACAACAGAAAGGTTAAGAAAAAAAATCACCTCGTTATAGTCAAAGAAAGGTACAAACTTAATAGAAAAAGTGAACACATTCTTGCATCTGTTTTCTTACTACAGTAACCCCCATCCTCCTCAAACCCCTGGAGGATGGGGGTTGGGAAACTCCAACTATCATCTTCCCAAAGCACAAAGTTATCTTTTCCTCTACAGGAACCAGAACTCGTTTTACTGGGCCATTAATCTAACCCCTTCTTGTGCATTTATCTTCTTAAAACCACACTACCAGTCTTACTCCTTTAACTAAAATGTTAAAAAAGGCAATACAATTTAATCATATTATGTAGCATATGTTCTAAGGCATACCACTTCCCACATCCCCCAAAGTGTGGGGGGTGCAGGAAGTGGTATGGATGAAAAAGCAAACAAACAAACAACAACAAAAAAAACAGTTACCCAAAAGTGTTTCACTGTAAAGATGGTTTGTAGTGTGTTTTGTTGCAACCTGAAGTGTGAAATTAACTTCAGTGGAGTTTGAAAGCAAAATATGTTGATGTTTTGTTGAAAGATGTGTGTGCCCAGTTGATTTTTTTTTTCTCTTCTTATTTGGGGGGAATTTTGTTGTAATCCATAGGGGGTCCCAGAAAGTCTTTGGGAACCACTGTTGTAAGACACAGTGCAGTTATTGTTAACAGTCTTGTTAGAAATTAGGTGTTGAAAGGGTTTTCCAAGTCAATTTCAGAATAAAGGCTTTTCCTGCTCATTAGTTAACTGAATCCTGGACTGTATAGGTGTAGACATGGTGACTGTCACAAATCAGTGTCGTTGGTGACCTCTAACACGAGGGCTAAGTGAGACTATAATATCTTCTGACCTTGTGATGTTTAAAAAATATTCTTAATCAATCCAGCTGGGTAAATCCTCCAGATGATATATCAAGGTTCCCAGAATGGTGTGGACAACACATTTGCACCGTCTGTGAAAAAAAAAAAAATCAGTGTGTTTACTTTTATCAGAAGTTTATTCAGTATTAATCTTACAATGTTTAATCAATTTATCATACCTTACTCAGGCTTACAGGGTTATTGTTTCTCTTTTTGCCTTCACAGTTTGCCTTGGTGCAATAGAAGCCTAGCAGTAGGTGATAAGCAAATAGTCATAGCAAATGGTTATCATACCTCACGGGGTGACAGACCAGACCCAACGGCTGGGCGATTATCATTAGGCACAGAATGCTCTCCTTAATAATTCTCTGTGTGTGTGTGTGTGTGTGTTAATCTGATATGCTTCTTCCAGACATGATGTCTGTGTGTGAAGGGCAGTATGCTATATATATATAGCAAACTTCCCTATATATATATATATATAGTCTCTCTCTCTCTCTCTTTCTCTCTCTGTATATATATATATATGCATGTCATCCATGTAGAGAAGGTGACTGATGTTAGGCCCATTTTTCAGTCGGTATCCGTAGACAGTCTTGTTGATAATTTGGCATAGGGGGTTCAGGCCTATGCAGAACAGTAGCGGGGACAGAGCATCTCCTTGGTATATGCCACATTTGATGGACACTTGTGCAAGTGGTTTGCAGTTGGCTTTTCCACAGCCTCATCGAGTTTGCAATGAAGGCTCTCAGAGTCCTGTTGATGTTATACATCTCTAAGCATTCAATGATCCAAGTATGCAGCATTGATTCATAGACTATTTTGTCTCATTTCAGGAACGTCTTATTGCCGACCTTCCAGAAAAGTTTCAGAAAATAGAAACATGCATTCCTTCGCATTGGTGAATGTGCCGACTCATCAGACTGGACAGTCATCTCAAACCTCACAAACCACCCATCCATACCAAGGTGCATTGGGAGTTTGGTCTGCAAACGCCACACAGCAGTATGCAACGGGGAATGGAGGAGTGCAACTGTCTCACGGCTCTAATTTTGCCTCGCAGAATGGAGCAAACCCTAGCAGACAAATGTCAAATTGGCAGAGCTCTGATAATACTTATCTAGCGACTCAGCCGAAAAATGCTTCACATTTCAAGGATTCTCTTTTCCAAATAATTCTTCGCCAGCAGCAGGAGCAGCAGCAGCAGCAGCAACAACAGCAGCAGCAGCAGCAGCAGCAACAACAGCAACAACAGCAGCAGCAGCACAGCAGCAGCAGCAGCAGCAGCAACAACAGCAGCAGCAGCAGCAGCAACAACAGCAGCAGCAGCAGCAACAACAACAGCAGCAGCAGCAGCAGCAGCAATATAGATTAAACAAATTACAAAATGAGAATCTTTCTGTGTCAAACACTGGCATATCTCAGCCAGCCACAATGCAAAACTCTCATCAAAATGGAGTGGACCACAGTCAACGTAGTAATCCTGTCATAAACTCCACCTATGGCCAACAAAGCATGCCAGTGTTCTGCAAACAGACAGTTTCCTATAATGGGGCTCAGATGAACAGGACCACAAATGCCTCAGATCTTCAACAGAGGTGGACCCAGCAGGCTTTTCATCCAGCTGCAAATGGAGGAATGAGCAGACCCATTTCATCATACCCTGCCGCTCCCTCACTTCCATATGACCAGACGGTCAATGCCAACACAACGCTAGCTGCAGCTATTCATGATGGTCAAGCTCCTGTGTCTTCTAATCAAATTCACAGACCAAATTTCTCTCAGGGTGGATGCTCTCAAAACTATACATCAAGCTGTGGAATTGCAGCCTCTCAGACATTTAAGGACAACAATGTTGCTGCTCAGGGTACATCCTCAAATGCTCAGACTGCACATGCTATGCTTTTTCATCAAATAAACCAGCAACCTTCAACTCAGAGCAATCCTTCACATAACAACTACAGAAGTTTCAGGAATATAAATTTGTGGAATGAAAGAAATTTTCTTTCAGAAAGAAATGATTCTCCTCCTCCTTACATGAGCCCAGATCCTTCCATTGTGTCCAGAATGTCTAATCAAAATAGCCAAACTGCGACCGTAGCTCCTTCTGAAAATCCCAGCTTGAAGACTAGCCAGTCTTTATCCCTCCAGTCTGGACAGCCTTGGCCTCAAAGTGTTAAGTCAAGAGCACAGCACATTGTAAATGCATCATTTCAGCAAAACTCATTAGCAAATGTGGTGTACCCCCGTTTCACATCCGAGAATGGGGGTGGAAGTGGCCAGATAGTTGACATCAGTGAAACTGTAACTAAAAGATTTCCTGTCGATTCACTGAGTAATTCATCACAAGGATATAAGAGGGTGTTAATACAGAGAGGTGAAGCCATTGTAGTAAGTAGCCAATCAAATAAGGATGTTGGAATGTCTTCACCATTCAAACAAAATGAAAGCTGTTCCTCCTCCGTGTCTGGTCATACCGGCATTAGAGCAGTTGCAGTTGTTCCCCCATTGTCGCAGGAGGAGCCTAATTCTCCTGCCTCCGCTGAACCTTGCAAATCTGTGGACGACGCAGAAAAAACATGCATTTTATCCCATGTAGCTACAATTTGTGAGACTGCATCTGAAAGCGAGCAATCCAATCAGAATCAAGTGATCACCAACAAAGCAGCATCAGAGCCAGAAAGTTTAACTCAAACACCAGAGAGCGATCATCATGAATCGGTTGTTGAAAGGGTTTCAGAAGAGTCGACAAATCAAACTGGTTCTGGAAAACAAACCGAAGTGGCTCCACCTCAATCACCACCTGCTCATGAACTTTCTCAGCTCCCAACAAAATCTTGGACCTTTAAGGATCTGACCAAATTAATAATGGTGATGGAAGCCGAACCCAAGCAAAAGGGGACACCCGATGTGTCGAATGTTGTCAAATTATTTATTACGATGTGGGATAAAAATATTAGAGCAATGCTTCATGGCTACAAGGAATACTTGGAAATGGCTTCTATTGCTGAAAAATTCTGTCACGCACACGTCAAGCGGGACACTTCTATACTCACACAAGTTAGCCAAGGCTTTAAGGACCAACTCAAACGGTACAAAATCCTCAAGGAAGGTGAGGTCTTCTCAGAACCTCCTTACAGATCTTTGTGGTTGAATGCCAATGATCAGCTTGATGACATAGATAAGGAGTTTGGCTTCCCTTGGGCTTTGAAGCGACATCTTTATGTGGACGAAACCACAACCGAAGACTTTGAGACTTTCGAAAACGTTCCCGAACAAGCTGCCAGTGAGTCGATAAACAAAGTTTTGCGTCTAACAGAGTGTGAAGCAGTTGATATGACTGAAGAAAGTGCAACCCCCCAGAACCTTACTGCTTCCCCACATGAGTTGTCAGGGAAAGATTCCTGTGACTTGAGCTACTTGTTTAAAATAGAGGTTTTGCCTCCAGAGAAAGCAAAAATTATCTTTGAGCAAGTGCAGAAAAACGAGAATCAAAGCTCTAACTGTGGAAAAGAAACTGATGCAAGCGACTCTGAGCAGAGAGGGGGATCTGAAGATATGGATTCCACAATAGATGATCCCAAACTAAAGAAATCTTCAGACAATCAGCTGGAAGAGATTTGCTGCCTTGCAAGATTTATAGAAATGAACTCAGGACTAGGCAAACTCTTCTCCAAATGCCAATGCACAGACAAACAAAATGCAAATGAAGGCACCATTGAGATCCTTAAACCAGAATCTGACTGCTCACCAAACGACCAGAAGGTTGTTAATCGTCAAACTGTTACTCAGATTGGCTCTGGTCTGTCCATTGACCTTGGTCAGATAATTGATTTGACTGACGACAACGATGGCCAACTTTTTTCTTTTTATAATAAAGAATCAGACGCCATTTTCCAGACCTGCAGCCAGTCAAATGCTGTTAGTGTAAGCAATCAGGAGGCTGGTGAACTTTCTGTTGATTTTTCCTCTCCAAAAGAGGTGCACGAGTTTGTCTTGGAGGAGAGAGAATCTGAGTTGGAGCAGGTACAAGAAAAGCTGCCATCAGCAGGAGCTGTGCAGTCGAGTGATTCAGTGTGTGGTACCCAGCTAACCAAATCTGATCCTTCCAATTTAATTGAAACAAATGAGCTACCTCTGTGTTTTAACCAGAAAGAAAACTGTGAACAAGCTCCTTTAACATCTGACGATGAATCGCCTTCAGAAAACAAAACTCAAGTTAGTGTCGCCGCCAGCCAGACATCCTTAAACTTTGTTGTTAATAGGATAAAAACAGAGAAGAGACAAAGGAGCCTTGACAATTTTTTCCCAATTCTAAAGAAGTCTAAACGCAGACTGCCTGTTGCCTCACATTCAGATCACAACTCTGAAGTTCACGAATCGGCCTCTGAAGGAAAAACTGTAGAATTGGTGTTGTTTGGAGCTGGGCAACCAGAGATGAGTTCTCCACCCAGAAAAGATGATGTCCCAGTTTCTTCTCAAATAAGAGTGTCTTATGAAAAACATAAACCACCTGAAGTTGTGTCTGTGAAATTAGACTCTTTGGCAACGGAGTCCACTCCAGCTGAGCCCAGAAGGGAGTACTCGATCAAACAGCTTATTTATGAAAAATGGAGGAGCAGTATTCCGACTATGAGTGGATCAGGTTTTTTTCGGCACAAAAACAAACTGAAAAGGCAAACCAGTTTACCTGCTGTGATTTCTAGTGAAAGCACAAAAGAGCAGGCGCAGACAATTTCCCCTAAACTGAGATTCTCTGACAGAACTAAAAAGTACATTCAGAGTTTCAAGAAGAAAAGGAAGACCCTCGCTGATCGCCTTACACGTGAAGAAACAAAGAAGAGGCGCTACAGTGTCACCCTCGGGCGACCTGAACATCAGATGCGAGGTGAAACCAGTGACAAGATGCCGGTCCATGACAATATTGTCTTGAAGTTCAATGTCCTGCCAAACACCTTTAACTTGGCAGATGTGTCTGCTGAGACAGAGGAGGCAGCTGAACCTGTTTCAGGTAAATACAATTCATTTTACAGAACATTTCTAATTGTCTTGTAACAGCTTCTCTGCGATGAGTATTTCTTGGTTAGTAGTCACAAACCAGTGTTGTTATGTCAAGAGGTAGATGAAAAATCCAGTAGAGCTAAAGTTCAATTAAACCAACCTGGGCTTTCTTAACATCTTGTCTGTCTCTCTCATGCTGTACTAGATTCTTTTAACTTGTGTCAGTATTTTATTTATTGTTATAAATTGTTTATTTATTGTTATAAATGGGTTTTTTATAGTTTAAAAACAAAAAACCCAGCAACAACAAAGCCGGGACATTAATTTTGAAACACAAGTTCATAATCTTGACATTTTCTTCAGAGCAGTTCAGAGGGTTTGCTTATTTTATGTTCATACATTCGTCAGAGTTATATAACTTTTACGTCATAAATTGCACTATCAGCCAAGAACCTCAAAAAGCAAACAGATTGTTTTTGTTTTGCTGTTCTGGAAACTGCCTGATAGTCTAAGACTGACTGGGTCAGTGTGACTCTCTGTTGAAGAAACTTTTCAGTTTCTGTTGAAGGGATGTTCAGATTGTTCCGAACATTTATCAGAACAATCTGATAAGTGTTCTGCTCACATGAATATCAGCATCTGGCCTTTACACAAAAACCTCCCCACTGAGGTGCACAATAACAAAGATTAAAATGGATAGCTATTTCTGACTTTACATCGCTGTTAGATTCCGTAAACTAAGGATTTCCAAAGCCTGGCCTGGGAGCCATATGTGATCTCTGGAATGATTTTGTCTGACCCCATGTGATAATTTAGTAATTCTGCAGCTCTGGCTGCATCAGCAGAGCTTTTTGATGCAGGTGGTATTGGAGAATCGAAAGGCGCAAAACTCTCAAATATATGTGTAAACAAATAAAACTCAGAGACGAGTCCTTTACTGCCAGCCACGACGGGTCGGGAGATTTATTAACACGTCTACTATGGATGTATCAATACAAAAACATTGTTCCAAGTCTTTCCCCAAAATCTCCCCTTTCTTTGTCAACAGGCACTTTTATAGCTTCTTAATGACATTAATATGTATGGGGGGAAGTTTTGACCGATCCAGATAACTATGTTGGTTTGCGTCACGATTCTTGGCTGCCCATTGACTGAGTGTGTGTTGGACTTTCTCTGGAACACTAATGACCTCTTGATCTAAACATCTGCTCCACATCAGAACTGCAGAATAAGCCATTTAATCACAATTGTTGCTCTTATCTATCTAAACAGCTTACTTCCCAACCTGTGGGTTGGTCCAACTTTGTGCTTTGCAAGCACAAAGTAAGGTAGATCAGGCCAGATCTACCTTACTGATGCCAACAATCTTTCTGCAAAAACAACTCCTTAAAAGGTTTTTCCGTGCTAACAGTGGATACATTATTTACAAATTTTTTAGAGCAAGATATTCATTGACAAATTCAAATCTTCACTTTAGATCACTTTTGTGACCAAGGAGTAGTTCTAACTTGATAGTTTTGGCCCACGTCAACTAGAAAAATTGAAACCCCTCAACAGACTCAGCTTAATTTCTCTCTGTGTAACTTGAATAAGATTTTGTGCTTTTTAAATTTCCAGATGAGTTGAAACCAATAGAAGAAAAAGGTGCCTTCCATAAGAAAGTTGCAGCAAAACCAAAAGGTAAAATATTATTTTATTTTTATTTTCAATATAAATTGCATTTGACACCATAAGTGCTGAGACCAATCGTTGTGTATCTTAATTCCTACCAGGAGCCTGGTGTCCAAGTGAACCAAAACAATGCAAGGCACAACGTGTCTCTAAGAATGTCGGCCTCTTCCATGAGTATCAGAAGAAATACAAGGAGAAGACTTGCACATCGACAGATGATTGATTGATGCATAATGTTACTAAACTTTGTTGCTGACAGTGTTTATGTTCTAAACTCAGGGAGTAGACTTGTACTATGTTTTAAGTTTAATCTCCCTGTAAGAGACCTCAGTACTGCTTCCTCATTAAAAAGCATTAAAAAGCCTACACATTGGACTGATAAAGACTGATTATTCTGTATTCTGTGTATATTACTGTATTTTGGGTTTTTTTTTCACTTTTTTTGTACCAAGAGGTGTTCTATTTTTTTACAGTGCTTTATAATGTTTGAAAAGATTAACTTTAAATTTGTCTTGCATGTTTTTGTTGTGCAAATAAATTTTTTTTTTGCTAACTCACTTGTCTGTTCATATGTGATAAGATTTATATGGAATACTTTTGAAATGAAAACTGCACACATGAGAACAATGAGAGACCAACTTCATGCTTGCAATGTACAAACGCCATGAGTGTTACACAAAAGTGATGCTTAACTAATAGTCAATTAAACCTTTTTAATTTTCTAACAATGTGTCAAAGCTTGATGAATAATATTTGTTTTTTTAAACATGAGAGCTACAGGATTAATGTGAAAACAAGAATCCACTGTAACATTTGAGAGCATTATAATTGCATTAATAGCTAAAATATGTTGTTTGTCTGGTTCGTACTAAGAAGCAATGTACTGTATCAAATGAACTAGGTCAATCTGACCTGGAAGTCAGGAAGGAATTAAGAATTGGAGAGATGTGGAATAACAACAACTTAAGAGATGAAAGCTCGTTTGCAAAGGAACTGGGCCGGAGCCCAAGACGTGGGAAAGAATCTCTTGTTTGGACAGATAAGGAACAATTTGACTAATAGTTTGACTGAAATGGAGCAATTGTTGAAATCAAGAGGTCTCATATTATTCCAGGAAGTCGACTCCTAATTCTCTGAAGTTCCAATACACATCTAGTGTAAAACGGAGCCAGAAGAGCCACGCAATTGAAGGGAAATGACGCCATTGGACAAAGCTTCACCAATACATGCCAGTAGAGCTGGGACACTACAAAAAACGGTTGTCAGAAGCAGAAGTCAAGAGTTTGGATTTCTGTAACGAGCTTTAAATTCCTCCAAACAATATGTCCACTCAGGTGACGTGAATAACTCTTATCGCCATGATTTTTCTGCTGTATAAACAGGAAGTGAATCTTTTGCAAGCCGTTTTCTTTCAGCAAAATGTCCTTGGATTCAAATTATAATGGTATAATGGTTATAACGTAAGTAAATGATTTCTTAGCTAAATCAGAGAAGCTAATGATTGCATGCTAAACGATGTGATTTTGACAATAGAAGACAATATCAAATGTGTGAATGCATTATTACCAATGTAATGCATTCAGACAAGTGTTTCCTGTTTCAACACTTGAGATATAAAGTGTTGAAACAAGCACTCAGTAAAAGTAGACTTGAGAAAAGGTGGCTATAGTGAAAAAACTTGCAGGAAAATAGGAAACGGTCAGCAGATGGTCACTGGCAAAGCGGAGCAAAGGGAAAGGCACTTGTGCAACAGTTGTACTGGCTGCATGGAGAAACCGAGGTCATGTTCATGTTTCTCCATGCAGCACAGAGGAGTTTTCACAAACCAGAGATCAATTCACCTAAGAAATATTCAACGAAGTAAGCTTGACATCAGGAACTGACCAATGAAGCACATCAGTAGGACAAGAAACAACAAAACAAGAGGAAGGTAGGAAGTACAGTTGTTTCCTTGAAGCAGAAAAGATCAGAGGCAAAGAACACAGCAGATGGAGAAAGAAATCCGGGACAATGGGTAGACTGCAGGCTGCCTTCAGATTGGGCATCAACCATAACTTAAGTGGCTTACCATTCATCCACTCAGGAGGAAAACTGTGGAATGCAACATGAGTCCTGACCTTTTCAGGTCAGGACTCATTCCCATCCCCCATCTCTCTCACACATAACTTTCCTGTATTCCCCTCAACAGCTGCACTTTCTCACAAGAAGAGTGTACACAAAGACACAGCAGAGAGAGTACTTCTTAAACATAAGAATCCTACAGACCAATCCTTTTGGAGAAAGCAGTCAATTAGACTCAACTTCATTTAACTATTCAGAATAAACGTATTTCCCTGCAACATTGTGTTAAAACAAGGGAGACTTGTTCAAAGACGGTAAGAATACAGAATTGCATGCAGAAAATGGAGTGAAAGAAGCATTTATTTATTTTCTGAAGTAAAACCAGACCAACTTCTCTTGTTATAGGTCAGTTGAAGTACCAAGGAGATTTCACTTTGTTAAATGCCATAACGAGAGAGAATGTATCAGTTTTTAAAAATCAAGTTTACAGATAAAAATGTTATCTTTTTTCTGTAGACATATGTAAGTTGTCTTTTTTTTTAAAGATAGATGGAGCTGGTTTTATTTACAAAGTTACTTTAATCTTGTATAGATTAAAGTATTTCTTGTAAAGATTAAAGATTTTTTAATTATCATTTTAGATTTAACTTAAGAATCAAACATAAAAGTCTAACTTTAGATGCACCCGAAAATAGAAAAGCAGAGATAGTTCTTACAGTTTGTACTGGCAGAATGTATCAAACTCTGCAAATAAAACCTTGTTTTTCAGGTAGGTGTCGTTCAGGTTGAGTACAGAGACAGCTGAGGTGGCAAGTCTAATTGTCCCACGAAAGAGCAAGCGATAGTACAAAGACAGGAGATAAGCAGTTTAGACCACTAAAAAACAGCAGGGGTGTCTTTAAGATTCATCAAGAACAATACAGGGCAGTGATAAAGAATGACAATAAGTCATTGACATCTGCGTTATTTCACGACATCAAGAGTTATCACCTGTGGCGGTCAGAGGTGTGAAATTCCTTAACATATAAACCTCCCCTCCCCCCTGTATTTTTCATATTTATATTCATAACCTGTCCATTTTTTATTGAAAGGCGTACTAATCTCTCGTTAGAATCGTAAGACTATTGTGAAGTGCACAATTCAGAGACAATCTTTAATACATCTGCAGACGGAGAGCAAGAAATACACTGCATTAGGCACAAATTAGGATCCGCTCTGAGGAACCCAGAGTTGCATAGTTACTTTATTCATCTCTCTTTACTATCGAGGCGGAGACTCAATCTTCTAAGACCAAACAAAAGAAACAAAAGGAAAACATACGAAACCTTGTATGCTCATTCACTGTAATGTCTATGGGAGGTGAAAACTAAACACTCTATCTCCATGCAGGGAAGGCAATGGGAAAAACAGCGAGTTCCCAAATAACTGTCTGGGAAAGTTCAGCAACCCTGGAAAACTTACTTCAGTAGACACATCGTGGTTCATTAGTTTGTACACCGTTTCCAGCTGCATGGAAAAACACCTTGACTATGATTCAAAAAAACATTACATTTATATGATACATAAAGTAACATCATTTAATACGAATAAAACCTCTTCTCACTATGTTATGTCATTCAGTTCAGAACGGAATAGAATATACTTTTTTGTCCCCTCTGTAAAGGTAATTTTATTTATATAGCACATTTGCAGCAACAAGGCAATACAAAGTGTTTTACAGGAATTAAAAGGAAATACAAACAAAATAACAAACCAAAGGAGAGAGCAAAAGAAGAAAAATAATCTAATGTTGAGCTATTCAAAGTATATATATTATATATATTATATATATATATATATATATATATATATATATATATATATATATATATATATATATATATATATATATATATATAAACACACACACTAGATACTCCTATTCAGGGTTGCTAGATAAGTATAAGGAAGTATCCTCTCTTTTAAACCTTTTTTGGGTTGGAAGAAGTCTAAAAAGTAGTTGCTACGGTAGATTTTCTGGATTCTGTTTGTTCTCATCCCTGTTCTGGATTGCTAGATAAGTGTAAGTGAGTAAGTAAGTATAAATATTCGCTGAAGTTATCCATAGTTTCTAAGTAATAATAAAAACTAAGTGTTCCTGTTCTGGAAGAATTTTTTATTTTATGGATTCTAAGTTCAATCTAATTCCTTTTCTTAGTTGCAATAATAGGAGTCTCTCTGCATAATGATATAAGAATTAATCTAAGTCTGCCATTTTACCATTTACCATGAACATTTCAGAGTTGTTTCCAGTTTGCAGTGTCAAAAAGGTCTCACTTCCTGCCACAAGATGTTTACAAGATTTCTTTTTAACATCTTAATTCCCCTTGTCCTTACATTTTTGACACACCATTCCAAAAATATTCAAATGAGTGTCGCGAATAAATACGTTTTTCAGTCAAACAGAAACCGTTTCAACACTCAGAGCTTGCTGCGATAGCACCAAACATGGCTGGATGTGAGGCCGTAGTTCTCCTGCCTAACACTCTCAGGCAACTCAAACTGGGCTACGTGATGCAGGAGCTTCCGGATGTCGTGTCCCTCAAACTGGGCTCTCCCAGGATCCCCAATCAGGACTTTGGAGCCGTGGCTTTTGATGCAGCGGTCCAGCCATTTATGAAGGCTGTCTGAGAGCGTTTGGTCGTAGAACATGTCGCCCAGGAGGATCAAGTCGAAGCCGGCAGGATCCGAACCAATTATGTCGTCTGTCAGGCAAAGTGGTGGGTCCACTTTGTTCAGTTCACAATTCAACTTGGTCACAACAGCTGCAACTGAAACAGAGAAAGTAAGCTTAGCCATGCCGCACGAAAATATTGACATGTTCCATAACTAATGGATACTGTCTGCGGTTATTAAATTAAACTGTAAGATTTTAAAAACGCAGCAGCAAAACTGAATATCACCAAACTATGGATGCTAACTTCCCTTGTTAGTCAGAATAATCCTTTAAACTTTATTAAAATTGTGTGAACAACAGCGGAAAATTAACTAAATGAGAAGACGAGGGAATCTTTCTCACATGTCAGCCCAATGCCACATCGTAGCAAACCCTGAAGGTTGGTAGTGGAGAAAAAAGAAGAAGGGTACCAGTTAAAGCAGTTATTCAAAATTGTGGGTGTGTAACCAGCTGCTCTTGTCGGTAACCTCAGTATGAGTCTCCTCATCAGCAGCATTAGAAGCTACTGCAGGGAACATAAAGCAGACTTTAATCCCGTATTGTACGAGGATACGATTATGAAGCTTCCAAACGTCGGAGCTGAGGTAAGCTCTATGAATCTTACTGCCATAGTCCTTTGTGTGCTCTGCAATATGATTTGCTGTGCAGATTTCTCAATAACATAATCAAAAATAAAATTATAGTTTGTCTTAACATTCATGGAGAAAGCTGAACCATTAATTTGCAAAACTACTCTTACAATCTACTCCTAGTGTGTTAGGAAAATTATTATCTTAGTTCATTTACTTTTATTTGAATGGTTATGTTTTCATATTATTCCGTGTGTTGTTTTCTTTCCCTTTCTTTTATTGTATATTCTTAACTGCCTTTTAGGGTTTTCTCTTGAGGGTTGGAAATGTCTCACACATTTCTGTGTTAACGAGCCACAATGATCTTTGTCTGTATCCTGAGAGTGGTCATCCTGGTGTCCCAACAATGGGACATCAACGGAAGACTTCCAGAACATCTTGTAGGATAGTGTACTGGTCAATTGTTTGCATGTCTGAGTGAGAAAGCCAACCTCTTTGTGTATTCACGTAATAATAAAAGGCAGTTGGGGACTAAGAGCCAACGGAGTTGATCTCAGACAGCGTTTGGCAGCGGTTCTCTCCGCGTCGAGCTCTTCTCCCTTTTTCTGTGGAAAAGTAATTTGTGTCTTTGGTTGATTCTTGCAGGTTGGGGAACAAAATAAACCCAACATAGTGAACATCTGAAAGGGCTTTTTTTTCTTCAATTATATTTACAAGTAATGTAGTTATACATCACTCTGTCTGTGCTGTAACAGCAGAAAGACACATAATGTAATTAAAGTGATTGTTTTGGGTAAAGATCCACAGCAGTTGTTCTCAAACTATTAATACAAAGTACCACCACAGAAAATATTTTTATATTTCAAGGACCTTCATTGTTACTGTAAAATAAATTAGCACTGCATTTAGATGAGTACCAAAATGTTTTAATAAACACAAAGTGGTAATCTGTGGCTTCATAAAAACCTAAATCAAGATTTCTACAGATCTTCTATTTCAAATGCTCATAAATAGACACACCCCAACTTTCACCATTTTAAGCAGAAAGCTCAGCATTAATTGACAAAAGATATTTACTCGCAGCTCGATATACGACCCCTGCGATAGAGGAATGTACTAGTTGCATACTTGCAGACTTGCAGGGTGCAGACAGAATGACAAATTAGCCACCTCGGGGGAATTCAGAGTGATAAATCCCCCCACCGGACCACCATGGGGGACGTCCATGAGGGCATATTCTTACTTACAATATTCTTAAACTCATCCAGAATATTATTCTCTGCAAAACTTCTTTTATTTTCTACCTACAGCAGCAGCAGCACCAGCAGCAATATATTTGCTACATACAATAAAGATACACAATCTCATTTATTTTTTTTTGGACATAGTTGTCCTGTTCAAAACCTTGTGGTTTGCTTGAGCAGAAATGGTGTGGTGTCTGCTGGGCATGTTAAAATGTTAAACATTTAGCACACAACATCCTCACTACTTTCAGATAGTTCACTTTTTATTTTTTTTTTTAGTTGTTGTGTGGACTCAATTTAAATAGATTAACTGATAAAGCTTTTTTTTAAAATTGTTTGTGTGTTTTATTCAAAGATTCCTGCCAATGGTTTAAGATGAGTATAAACAACTAGTTGATGATAATTAAGTGATGTTCACTTGGACTTTTTTTTAAAAAAAAGTCTGATGTTTTATTTTACACTGAGAGCGGCCAAAGTCCAGGTTCAGCAGAAGCTGAAGGCATCTGAAGGGCAAACAAACTAAGTACCCGTTTGCTTTACTGTAGAGCTTTGGTAAGGTTAAATTTAGTGGGCTAAAGAAAATCAGACAGTTGATTCTCCAATGTGAGAAATCCCTTGAGGTAGTCAAGTTTCTTGTTTGTTCAAATTTGTTAGTCATTTACATAGTATGATGACTAATTAACAGTTGATTTATTAAGTGATCTTCAGTTAATAAATACAATGTAATCTTTCAATTCATAGTTGAAGTTCTATTATCGGAATTCTGCAAATTAAATATTTTGTCGTATATTTCAATAATTCCTTTCATTCAGTCTAAGCTCCCTGAAAAGGAGAAATTACCTTTCAGATCAATATATTTTTGATTGCTTTGAGTATCATGATATTTTTACTTCATCTGACTGATATGATCTTCTTTAACGCATGCTGATGGTTCATATTGTTCGTTAATAAGCTTATCATTTACAAGAGGTGAACATTAGTGAACATTAGTGAACAGATAGCATCATGAGAAGCAAGGAACAAAAGCTGTAGATAATTTTAACGGTAAAAACAAAAAAAAAAAACAATCACCATGTTGTGACCAGCTCTAGGAGAAGGGGCTGTGTAGTGAGTATGTTTTATTTTTTTAATATTTGTTTTAGGTAAAGTGCACCATTAGCAAACTTAGTTAATGTTATTATAACTTGGGGCTAGTAGTCAGAAGATGTGAGAGGGGTTATTTAAAAAAAAAAAAAGAAAAAAAATCACTGATTGAATTGTTGGTTGATAGCCAGCATATATTTGAAGTTGTGCAACAAAAACCAAAATAAAAAAATTATATGAAACCTGAATGGCCATTCAGTTTGATAAATATTTACGCAGACTATTATTCAATAAATCGATAGAAATCCAAGTGCACGCATTAAAACATCCAATCTAAATGATAGAAATTGTATTCACTATCTGAATACAGACTGAAAGTTTACATTGATCATTTATAAGCTTCAGTAACGGAAAATTCAACAACTATATTTCGTTACTGAACACACTCAAGTGTATAAAATGATGGATGGAGGAAAAAAGCATCATTTGGGCCGAGAAACATACAGCATATAAGTTAGAGAGAAAAGTAGTGGATAATGATAAAGGTAACAAAATAATTTACCATGTCGGAGCGTAGTGCAGTGTTAAAAAAAAAATAAAGAAAGAAAGAGAGAAAAAAAAAACTTTCAACTCTAGGGAAAGCTAAAACTTAAATATGAGTAGTCTCAGTAAGGTCTGTTTAATAAGTGTCACATATTCTTAAGAAATAAATTTACAAATGAGAAACTTTTACTGACATGTTTCACACTAGCGAGTGTTACAGAGAAAAATGTATGAGCTTCAAATGTGTTTATACCGGCGTTTACTATTTTGGAGAAAGCATGAAGCTCTGGGAAGATCAGTGTTGATTCAGCAGCAGGAAAAAAATTGAACGAAAGTAGCATTTACAATGATGCGAGGATAAATTTTGGAAAATTCTGGACAAATTCTTTAACCAAGGAAAGTTAAAAGTTTAATTTGAATAACCTCCCGTTGGCCTGCTTACAAACAGTCACATATTCTTAAGAAGTACATGTACAAATGAGAAAACATTTACTGAAATGTATCACACTAGTGAGTGTTACAGAAAAAATCTATGAGTTTCAAATGTGTTTAAACCGGCGTTTCCAATTTTGGAGAAAGCATGAAAGAAATTACAAACTTGTAGTCAGTACTAACTAGTCATGCTACCATAAATAATGTAGTTAAATAGTAGGTTTTCTTTAGAAAACTCTTTAGACAGCTCTCCCCCCCCTCTGCATTGACCCGCTACGGCGCAGCTGAGGAGCTTTACTTGTGAAAAATCAGACCATCACCACAGACCAGGTCAGAGAACAGCTGAGGAAGCTCAAGCCCAGGAAAGCAGCAGGGCCGGACCAGGTGTGTCCAAGGCTGCTGAAGACCTGCGCTGAACTGGGAGAGCCACTACAGCGGATCTTCAACCTCAGCCTGCAGCTAAGGGAAGTGCCCACCCTCTGGAAGACATCCTGCATCGTCCCAGTGCCCAAGAAGAACAGGCCCAGCGAGCTGAATGACTTTCGGCCCGTGGCACTCACTTCACCTGATGAAGACGTTGGAGCGGCTCTTCCTCGGCCTCCTCAGACCTCAGGTGGAACATGCTCAGGACCTCCTGCAATTCGCCTACCAGGCAGATGTTGGTGTGGAGGATGCCATCCTCTACCTGCTGCACCGGGCCCACTCCCACCTGGATAAGGGCAGTGGCACAGTGAGGATCCTTTTCTTGGACTTCTCCAGTGCCTTTAATACAATCCAGCCCCTTCTGCTCCAGGACAAAACTAAATAGCATGGGAGTGGACCAGCACCTGGTCACCTGGATCCATAGTTACCTCACCAACAGGCCGCAGTATGTCAGGCTAAAGGACACCGTGTCTGACACTGTGGTCAGCAGCACAGGAGCCCTCAGGGCACAGTGCTGGCCCCTCTTCTCTTCACCCTGTACTCCTCTGACTTCCACTACAACTCGGAGCTGTGTCACATACAGAAGTATGCTGATGACACAGCCATAGTCGGATGTATCAGGGACGACGGAGAGGAGGAATATCGCTGTCTGGTGAGGGACTTTGCTCTCTGGTGCCACACAAACCACCTGGAACTCAACACCTCTAAGACGAAGGAGCTGGTTATAGACTTTGGGAGGTCCAGACCAAAGCCGAGACCAGTCGTACTAGAGGGAACGGAGGTTGAGGTCGGCTCCTACAAGTACCTCGGGCTGTGGCTGGACAGTAAACTGGATTGGTCAAAACACACCAGCCACCTGTACGGGAAGTGCAGAGCAGGATGTACTTCCTGAGGAGACTGCGGTCCTTCAACATCTGCAGCAAACTGCTGTGGATGTTCTACCAGTCAGTGATCGCCAGTGTCCTCTTCTACACCGTGGTGTGCTGGGGAGGCAGCACATCCAAGAAGGACATGTCCAGACTGGACAAACTGATCAGGCGTGCCGGCTCTGTGGTCGGCATGAAGCTGGACTCTCTGGTGACGGTGGCAGAGGCGAGGACACTGAACAAACTGCTGGACATCATGGACGATAGCAGCCACCCTCTACACGCCGTCATCAGCAGCCAGAGGAGCCTGTTCAGTGACAGACTGCTGCTTCCCAAGTGCCGGACCAATAGATTCAAGAACTCCTTTGTCCCCCGCCTTCAGACTGTACAAACTCCTCACTGGGGGGTCGGAGGTGACACAGGACAGAGGGAAGAAGGAGTAGTTTTTCTACAAATGTGAACTCCATATTTATCAGGCCAAACCATACAGTGCAATACCATATCACTGGTCAATCTATCGACCAAATTGCTATAATTTCCTTTTGTGTTGTATTTATATTCTTTGTTTGTATTTAATTTGTATTTTTTTGTATTTTGTGTATGCTTACTGTGTGCCACATTTTTGCCTGTGAGCTGCTGGGTAATATAATTTCCTGAGGGAGTCTTCCCAAGGGATCAATAAAGTCAAGTCTAAGTCTCTCTCTAAGTCTAATATTGTATGACAGGAGGAGAGCGGGTGTGTTTTCTACAAACATTTTCTTGTGTCTTAAAAAAATAAACAGAGCGATAAACCGAGAAAAAACAGATGTGGTCTGGATGCCCTCATGGACGTCCCCCATGGTGGTCCGGTGGGGGGATTTATCACTCTTAATTCCCCCGAGGTGGCTAATTTGTCATTCTGTATCGCTCTGAATTCCCCCGAGGTGGCTAATTTGTCATTCTGTCTGCACCCTGCAAGTCTGCAAGTATGCAACTAGTACATTCCTCTATCGCAGGGGTCGTATATCGAGCTGCGAGGTCCCCCCCCCCCCCCCCCCAGATCCGGAGAATCAGAAGCAGCATCTCCGTCCCCAAATCTATTTCAACTTCATTAGGCTTTTAGTATATAATTATATACATTTTACTTGATTAAATAACTGTTGTTGTTGCTGTATTACTCTTAAAAAGAAAGTCAGATATACGGCATTTTCTGAATTCAGCAGAGAGAAAACAGAAAAACCTAACACACAGACCGTATGTCACTGAGAACGACCCCCGAAGGGTTTTCTCCCACAGGCCCTGCACCCATAGACCGTACCTATATTGATCCAGCCCCCAGCTCAGACCCCAGTCGTAGGCCAGGCACAGAATCAGAAGTATCATCTACATTCCAAATCTATTTTAAACTTCAGTAGGCATAGTATATAATTATATACATTTTTCTTGATTAAATAACTGTTGTTGTATTGGTATTACTCTTAAAAAAGAAGTCGATAGGAGCTTTCAAGAAAACAAAGAATAATAGATGTCTAAGAAATGTTCATTTAAGGAGAGGTACATCCTGACATCTGGAAGGGAGGGAGGGGGAAGGTGTGTGTGTGTGTGTGTGTGTGTGTGTGTGGGGGGGATAGAGGTCAAAGATCGTGAGAAAAAAACCCTAGTAAATGTAAGGCGGGACTTCCGGTCATCTAAGACGGGACTTCCGGTTAAAGTAAGGCGGGACTTCCTGTAAAAGGGGCGTGGCACCTGTCAAAATGAGTTTGAAGACAGGGTGTACCTTTAGTCTCTCTATTGTGACATGATTTTCAACAATGAGTTGATTTTGATTGTATGTTTTTATTTTATATCCACCTGTAGTTACATGATTTTTCTGAGGGGGTGAATATTTCTATCCGAATTACTGAAATAAAACGCGCGATTAGAGGCGATTAAGAATAATCGAGGCAGCGTACCGGGGTCGATGTCGTTGGCCACCACACGAGCAGCACCGCAGAGTTTCGCAGCGATGGATGAGGCTCCACAGCCGCTGCCCAGATCCAGCACGGATCCATCCCGACAAACATCTGGGTAGTCCAGGATGTACCTACCAGAGCATGGCAGGACGTTAATCAGCGAGCTGTGAAGCCCAACAAACTTGATTTACAGCGAGGATTGACCTGGACAGCGCCTGTCCTCCCGGCCAATAAATCGCCCAGTACGGGTCGCTGAAAGGCCAGAGTTCTGGTCGTTCTGTCCAGAACCTGCAGCCGGGAGTAAACAGCCTCAGTTTTATCTCAGGCGTCAGGCTTCCTCCCACCACCACCTCCGTGTTCTCTGATATGAAACGTCTGACGTTCTCGTCTGAAAGACGGGATTCCGAGGCGCGTCTCCGCCTGCTGGTTTGTGCAAGGGGCTTTAAAAACCCTTCAACGAACCGGTAACATTTAGGCGCCGACAGAAATCCGCGGCGTGGCGATGCTGATGGGAAAAGCCTCATAGCCAAGAATCTAACTGTTTCTCTTTCTTGAGCAGCCGTTCCAGCGGCCCCCAGAAAGCGAGACACGAAACTTTCGTTCCGCCTCGTAAGGTTCCTGTCCAGTGAAGTGTTTGTCTCCGCCATTTTGCGAGTGGCAGATTTGTTGAGTTTTTGATCTTTAAATTTTACAAATGGCTGTCTTCTGTTTGGAAGTAACATGGTTATAAAGTAATAATAAAAATGCAATCACAGGCTATGGTTGATTGTTGTGATTTGTTGGGAGTATAAGTATGGTTAGATTAATTTTAGAAACAGTTAACCTTTGTGCATATGAAATATTAGATGTAGCATGAACATTTTGAGTTACGTAGACTTAGATAAAGATCCAAACTAACACAACTGCTTTTTAGACTCTCTGAACTGACTCTCTGAACTTACATAAATTACTAAGGAGGGCCTTCAGACAGGGTCTGCAGGCAGAGGGAGTCTGTCTGTTATCAGGATGAGTAAAATTCTTTGGTGTTTGTTTAGGAGTTCAGTAAAACACTAAAAGCTTTAAAACAATTCTCCCAGGAGTATAATCAAATGTATTAAGATATTTCCTTTAAGTATTAACAGCATATTAGTAGATAGCCCTGCAGTTTTTAGATCCAAACTCATAGTTATCATCTGGCACCAGATTTCTGTGCTAGTGTGTTTATAACAGGAATCAGTTTCTTGATGAATCGCTGAGGCAGAAAACCACCAGGTCTAGTTGCAGGTTATAAATTTTGGTCTGGAATGTTTAAAGGAGGAGACTGGTACAGGAAGACCCTGTTTGAGAATGACATTTGGTCTCTACATATATTTGCTTTTGGGTTTGAACAGATCTCAAAGAAGGTAATAAAATTTCTTTATGATTTCCCCAGTGCATGCAGAGTTCCTGAATCTGGGAGATTAGAGGAAAATTAACGAGCCAAGTAAATATATTAATCTAAGTTCAACAGATCCCACCAATTCTTCCATTAGGTACCAAGAAGGCTAAAATAATCCTGTATTGTCTAATGAAATATAATAAATCAACAAAAAGCACTTTTTCGCAATTGTCTTGCCAGAGCTTGTTTGCGGAGCTCTGCACAGCATCGCCAGCTGCGGGTTTATGGCTGATTTTAGGGAGATTTTAATCCTGAACGTCCTGCAGCTGTAATCCCCGCTTTAACCGACAGGGGGTGCCGTTGCACAGCAGACAAAAAAGCGAGGACAAATAAAAAAACGATGTGACGAAGGTAGGGGACCTATATATAAAAATGAAGATCAGGCAAAGACAACTCATAGTTAAAGTAAACAAGTAAAATGGCACAAACATTTGTTTTAACCAAGAATAATAAGTGTTGATATAAATAACTGATGCGTTGCTGCATGTAACCCACAGAATCCAACATTCTCATAATGGTGGTTTCAGAAATATTTCAACAGTATTTTTTGACATTTTCATTTATTTAATTTTGTGTTTTTCCCAGATGCTCTAGTTCAAAACCGGTTGATCTATAGAAATCTTACATAAACTCTGAATTTGAACTAATCTATATGTACAACTTGCATGGGTTCAGTGGATTAATTACAGAATGGGTCTGTGAAAAAGCTGTCAAATCAGAGCAGAGTTAGTTATCAGTCTGGACCCATCAGGCCCCTGAGAAAACAGAACCACACAGTATTAAAGCTAAACAGGATGAATGTGGTCAGCATTAAGTGAGACAAGGCCAATGCGAGGAAAAAAAACGTCTTCCTTCACGCCGAACCGGCAACTTTAAATAAAACAAGTTTTTGAGTCCTTGATGTAGTTTCATCATGTCAGCAGTAGAATAACAAGTTTCCACAAACCTAATGGAAGGTGAGATTGGTTGAGGACAAAAAGTTGCTAAGAGGCCTTTTGTACTGCATTATTATGATTATATTTCCGTACCTTAAACATCTCCATAGTGATTTTACACAACCTCCATAATACTTGTGAAGTCAAACATATTTTATTTTGTTTTTACTGTTTGCTTTACATAATCCAAAACAATAAATTTGGTCTCTTGTCAAGTCTGACTCATTCAATAAATGTTTAAAGTGGTGAAACCAGCAGAAGCGTTTGTGAGGTTCAAAATGTACGACTTTCTCATTAGTTCCTGATTTCATTTTCCATCTTTTATGTTGAGCGAATGGAACCATGAAACAATTAAATGATACACTTGATCGAAAGCTTGCATTAACAGACTGATTGAAAGATACGTTTCACTAAACCATAACTTTAATTCCACAATATCTTCTCTCGCTAAATGTTTTTATCTCAATTTATGCAAATTAACCAATTAGCATGCCACTGAGAAATGCTGCTCTTTGTGCAAAAATGAGCTCAGCGATGTCCTCTCAAGAACAAGCACCGCATCGGTGCTCACAAAAGCAAGAGATCACAACATTGTTCACTGGACTATGATAAGAAACAATTCTTCAGAATAATTTATTTTCAGCTTTTGTCTAGTTATGTTGTTCCTTTAGGTGGTTCTGCTAAGTGAAGTTGAATTAAATCAATTTGTTTACAGAAGACAAACAAGAATTGCTTTGTCAGATAATGGTTTGGTAATATAATAAAATTAAATTGCTTACAGGTAAACAGGTCGGGGTGTCCACTGAGACCAGAATGTTTTCGTGAACGACACGTGAATCAGTAAATTGGGCCGCATGAAGGTTTCCATGACTCTCAATATAGTCCTGTGAACAAACGTAAAAGTAGTTTGAAGACCATTAGAACCACTTAATCATTTCTTTTCTCTGACTTAATCACTCAGATAAAGTCAGAGCTCACCTTGTAGTTTAGCTCACATTGTTTTATGCAAATCTCTGTAATTTTTCCCTCCTCTAAAAATAACCTTGGTTATTTTTTTATGACCATACTGCTGTAAATATGCTGCTGTCTTAGAGTTTATTGTCCTGGTTTGTTTGGACAGATTGTCTCCCATTTGACTCCACAACATTTTGCTGTACACAAATGTGCATACTAGCAACAATTTCTGCATGCAAATCACCCGCCAAAAAAAAAAAAAAAAAAAAGAAAAGAAACACCACTATGTTTGAGCGGTTTGGTTTTTCCAGACATGGTGCTGGAAAAAACACCAAGTCTGGTAAAAAAAAAAAAAAGGTAAAATGTGGCCGATAAAAAGCACGAATGTCATTGACAGTTGCATGTAAAATGATAATGAGAATAAAAAAAACAAGTTCGGCATTTGCAACAGGCTGCACCCACAGCGAGCCAAACATCTCATCTTTAGTTTTATTTGTCCAGAGGATATTCTTCCAGAAGGTTTTCTTTATGCAACCTTTCCAAATACAACTTGTTGAGTCTTTTCCAAATTGTCCCAATGTGAACATGCTAAATGAGGTTGGCAGATGAAGCTCTTGGTTTTTATTCATTTTTATAGGAGCATTGCATGCTCTTCTTAGGATAATGAGAGCCATGGCCCTGTTCTTGATCATTTTGTTAAATGACACGATTAATCGCATCTTCACTGAAACCTACAATATTTCATACAAAATACTCACACATAGCAGGTAAGGTCCACTCAAGATCCGTCTTGTTGTGTCACAAAGGTTCATGTATTTCTCACTTCCAGAGAAGTACACCTTTCATATTTCCCTTTATCATGCTTTTACGGTTTTGTTTTTGGGAGACACAGAAAGTCACTCAATCACATAATCAAAGCGTTCAAGCAGACACACTGGTGAGCCAGACGTGAACCCAGCAGCCCCATACAGCAGATAGTTACAGCGGTTAGCTGGTTCAGTTTCTCTGGACGATTCACTGCCCTTATTTTTTTTAAATTTTAGTTTATTGTCTGGACAAAGGCTCCAGCAGCCATCAAACTATAGCTTTAGGTGTTACATCTTGCTAAAACTTTTATCACCAACTTTTGCTTCCGATTTTTGGAGAATATTTGTTGTGTTGGGTGTGCATATGAGAATCGATGGCTCACAACTGCAGACCAAATCTCCCAGTGGGTACAAATAAAGTAAGCTGAACTTGAATTTAAGATTTGCCTTGGACGTCCACTCATGGGAATATTGACACTTTGTCACAATAAACTGCTGGACTTTTGTAAATTTGAAAAGCAACAGCAGTTACTCCTCCAAGGTTTTTCCTGTTCTCTCATCGCCTTGGTTTATTTCGCAGACAACCCTGGACAGACACACTTCTACTTTGTATGTATTAGTAATGTACATTTGATTGGCAGCCCTTACCTGTTATATCGCCGCTGAAATCCTAACCAAGCAGCAAGCGTGTACTTAGTTTGTACTAAAGGAGATTTAACGGACACAATTTTCTCTCTCCTTTATATCTTGCTAAAAAAAAAAAGCAAGTTGATGAAGCCTGTCGTCTGTTTATTTATCTGTTGTTTACTGGTGAAGAAATCTGCTCTTCACATCAGAGAAATTCATCAAATAGATTCCTTTAATGATGTCTTTTGGACAGACCTGTTGTTTTGTTATTTTCCTGATATCTTCCATTTTTGGTACCTCAGTAATTTTGCTCCATTTCCAACACAGAAACAGCAGGGTGAGAAATTGAGCTGCCTGCCGTGTGATGTTTTGTATTAATAATGCGTCATTTTGTACATCCCAGGGGAATGTTTTGCACCAACTTTGATAGCAGGTTTAAAAGGGATTTTCTACTTCCCACTTAGGTCATCCGTAAGAAAATATGGCTTTGTGACTGCAATAAACAATATCTCCCAGCATCATTCATTCATTCAGAAAAATCAGCTGTTTCAAACTCAAGCGATATCCAAATTAAATGGGGTTATGGTGCAATATGCATTTTTCAGAAAATGTTAAATGTAATTAAACAATCACAAAAACAATCACACATCAAAATGAAGACAAATTATCTTTGGCAGAGATGGACTTAGAGGGAAAAGAGGATTTGTACAGAAAGACATTTAGATGCCGTCTGTGGAATAAAGACAGGCGTTATTTAAAAGTTTTCGACAGCACAAAAAGTTTCAGACTCAGAAAAAAATGCCACCACAAAACAGACTAAAAGCAAACCGTTTCTCCCTGAAAGGCTGGTGCTTGAAAGGCACCTGTAAGATGTGAAGCCGTAGGAGGCAGCGGCGGTGAATGACAGAGAAAATGGGGAGGGAGGCGCCGATAGATGGAGTTCACACACAAGCGGCGGAGCTTCTCTTTAAAACTCTCTGCATCAACCAGATTGAGTG